GTACTTGCCCCATCTCTCCATCAGTTTGGGGTTGAAAAACATTGCTCACCCCTGTGTAAGTGCTTTGTATGGGCCAGAACTGGTCCAGACAAATTTTGCTGTGTTCCTGTCCAGAACAGAATCAGACCTGTCTTTAATGCATCCCCCCCCCCACCCCCCCGAGGGTCTGAAGATCATGAACATCCGTTATGAACTTTAAACCTTTGAGCTCAGAGATTTATCCTGATTTTTGAGATCTTTTCACATTATTATTTGCAGATAATAAGATGCACAAAGGTTTTCTGTTTTTCCACWGAGAAACATTACTCTGAAATTGTTCCACTGTTTTTAGACAGTTTTTTTGCAGGCTGGTGAACCTCTGCCCATTTCTACTTCTGAGAGATTCAGCCTCTAAATTTTTCTATTTGAACCCGGTTCTCTCACTGACCTGTTGCCAATTAACTTAATTAGATGCAATGTTTTTCCTCCAGCTGTTTCTTATTGGTACCCCTTAAATTTACTGTTATTTGCTGCCCCATCTTAATTTTTTTGAGATGTCTCTTTTCTTGCATTGGTTTAAACAAACAGAATAATGTTGAAAAAAATCCTTACCCTAATGTAAAAGTTATATTTAATCTGTGAAACACATTGGTAGCAGTGTTCATCCAAGTGAGGGCAGGCGAGATAAAGTGGGTCATGTAGAAAGACAACACCAYGAAGGCCAGTGTTGGTTCAGCACAGAAGGGTTGAAGAAGACAAAAGATCTCTGTGTTTAAAATGGTAAAGTCACAGCTGACCTATTTGTTCAAATACTGCCGAAGTTTGTGAAGTGAGCTGTTCGTATGTGGAAACAAACCAACATCCCAGAGTTTGTTCTGGGGGAAAAGGCTCCACACTCCTCCAAGCAAATGTTCTCTTACTGGAAACGTTTATTTTCAGTTCCTGCTGAAGTGTGTAAAACCAGATATAAAAACAAAGGTGAACACAGATGTGGAAGATTAAAACCCTTTTTGTTTCTTCTGCAAATAAATTATTAAGCATTTCATTTGTCGGCTTGTGGTCTTGTTGTTTGTGTGAAATACACTCGTGAAAAATCTGATGATTTACACACTAAACGGCGTGCGATCTGAGGCCCAGCTGCTGTGTTGGTGTTTGTTGTTCGGTTTATGTTTGTGTCTGCAGAGTCTGAGCAGAACCACAGAACTTAATGTGAACCACTGCGTTGGGTTACGGCAGAACACAAAGGGAGCTCTGTTCTCTGCTGAGGTGCCACAGCTGGGACCCCTGGGCACGCTCCGTGCCCAGTTTCCCTGCACTTATACCCTGAAGAGGCGTCACTAAAAACCTCTTCTTACTCATTTTGTCAAACAGAATAATTAAACCTGATGCTGACTCCAGGTGAACACATAAATACTGTTGTACATCAAGAACAATCGTTTCTCCTTTAGCATGGAAAAAAAATGTTTTACAGCCAGTGTGCATAAATAGAGCAAATACGATGAAATATTTATTTACTCTTTGTTTCCAAAGAGCCAAACCTTGTAGCGTTTAAGGAGGTCTTGAGTGTTTCTTTGGACTTTTGCTGCTTTCTTTCAAATTATATGTCCAGTACATAACCAATGTTAGAATATATTTTTATCCACCATACACTGAGTTAATGATGAATGATTATTCAGACACATAAAAGCAAAGGTGATTAGTAATGAAGTACATTTACATTGTTACGGTACTCGAGCAATTATTTTGAGGATCTGTAATTTTACCAAGTATTTTTTAAAATCGTAATTTTTACTTTTATTTTGTTACATTTAAAACACAACATGATACTTTTACTTCTTTACTTTAAAATTTAACACCTCATTACACACAACACGTTTAAATATGACCAGAACTTTATCATAAAAGGAGTACTCAACTACTTTACTTTACTACTTTAGTGGGACCAGTTTATTAAGTTCAACACTTCATGTGTTTCAAAGTATTTTTACTTTCCTGATTATTGTGAGAAATTTTATGACTTTTACTTAAGTACATTTTGTACTCGAGAAATCCAGCCATTTGGCTCTTTATACACCTTTGTAAAAAAAAAAAAAAGGCTCCTAAACTCAGGGTTGCTTCGAAATAATTGAACAAAAAATTAAATCACAATCTGTTTGCATTCCTTTAACTGAATCTCATCTTCTGAAATACATAAATATTTTAGCACTAGCAATTCAAGTAAGTCTGGCTCCTTGGGGGAAAAAAAATAAAGATTCAAATCAACGTTTCATAATTCAAACACTTCTTACTGGATATGAAAGTTAATAAAAGTGTTGTGGTTGTGATTTTTGACACGATATTCAAACTGAAAAAGAGGCATGTTTCGTGCAGCTTGCACTCAGAAAGCGAAGCAGAGAGCAGGATGATCTCACTGTTCGAGCAGGAGGAGCAGCAGGCTCTCTGGTCCGCTTTCAAGGATGTGAGCCAAGGCCCTTCTGTCAGCTGGCTCAGCCCAGCAGCCATGACAGGAAGTCAGCCTTCAAACACGGTGGTCCCACTCCTACAAAAAACATGTACACCCACCACGCTCGCAGCTTATCCCTGCGAGGAATTTATCGAGATGACAGCTCTGATTTACATCCCTGAGCTCAGRCAGAGCCAGCAGTCAGCACTTTCCCTCCGAAGCATCACCTCCATCAGGAAACTGAACTGGGATCAGCCCTCCTCGAAGGGCGAGATGAGTGCTTGTCATGCTGAAATCTGCATGAAGATAATTCTGTTCAGATGTGTGAGATCCTGAGATTTACTGCTTATAAACAACCCTCCAGATTCAGACCGGCACTTTGACAACACTTGTGGGATTCATTAAGTTCAGTCGCAGCAGCACAAGTAGCAGGTTCCAGAAAGCCTCTTCACCCRCAAATATTTGATAAAAACTATGAAGGGTTCACATTTTTATAAAAGATTTAGGTTCTTTTATCATTTACTTTTACACACTGTGTCAAACCATAAAGGCCTAGCGTTCCTTGAAATAATGCAGGAGTGTCCAATTCTTGTCTTTCAGGGCTGCTACCCTGCATGTTTTACTTGTTTCCCTGCTCCAACACACCTGAGTCAGCAACTAAATCACCTCTTCATGTTCTGCAGAAGCCTGTCAATCATCCGTTCATTCAAATCAAGAGATGGAGCAGAGAAACCTCTGAAACATGCAGGATAGTGGCCCTGGAGGAGCTGGTACACCCCTGATGTATGATCTCATATTGTCAGAGGCCCTCAGAGAATGTGTTGAGCACAGTGTGATACTTGAGTAAAAGTACAAGTATCTTACCAAAAAATTACTTTGGTAAAAGTTAAAGTACTCTTTAGGAAAATTACTTGAGTAAAAGTCTTAAGGTATCTGATATTTTTTGTACTTAAGTATTAAAAGTAAAAGCATTGATT